CACGGAAAGCAGAGCACGCCCGTCTTTCAAGCCCGCTGCAGGAAAATTAATCCATGCTTTCATTATGCAATGAGGGACTTGTTTAGAGTGTAGACACCCGCTGGAGGACAGCCAAAAGCCTATAGCGCGATCCCTCCGGGAAAAATTAAAGCAGCTGTGGAAGTGTAATTTAAAACCGCTGGAGTTTGCAGTGTGTGTGGGGGGGGGGGGGAGACTTGCACTCCTCCAGTATACCATGAGTGTCGGATAACGTCAGTCCTCCAAAGGATGGCTTTGGTTGCAGCATGAAGAGGGAAATCAAAATGCAGACCTGGAGGCAGCCTGAAATATCCAGATACAGGAGCTTGTGACATCCTCGTCCACTGCCCAGGTAGTGTAACCCTTTGTCGGTAAATTTCCTGCAGTGCGCGAGGCTTAAAAACTGTAGATTGGGGAAGCACCTATGATGGAAGGAAAGAAAAGAAAGAAAAGAAAAAAAAGGAATTTTACTCTCTCTCTCTCTCTTTGCGTTCGGATTTCTGATGCAATCTGATAGACTCTTAACTTGGACTCTTAACTTGGAACTCTTAATCACCGGGGTGGATGCTAAGACTTTAATGGGCTTAAAATTCTTCGTTGTTTTTTTTCTTAATGCTTAAACTGCTTTTATTATTATTATTATTATTATTATTATTATTATTATTATTATTATTATTATTATTATTTACAATGCTGCAATTCCTGCACACACTTTTTTCTGGGTTAGGTCCCCTTTGCTCTTTGGAAACAAGCAGAGTTTCTGAGTGGATGCATACGCCTGGATTTGCTGGAAACCGTGAATGTAATGAAATCTGGGATGGCAAAAGTTAGCTTTCAGGCTGGCTGCGCGTCAAAAGGCGTCCTAAATTAGAAACGCATGAATCATCGGCAAATTTCAACTGGACAAAAGAGTTGTAACGTTAGCTTGACAGGATATACTGCGACGTGAAAAGCAGACCCTGATTCGAACGGAGAATAAAGCCTGCAGAAATTAAATTATTAAATTAAATTAAATTCCAGCTGCCCTTTTCGTGTAAGTGTACTGAGGTTGGAAGCAGCTGCTCTAGCTAAAGTAAACGCTAACAATAGTGAGGCTCTTTTGTTAAGATTGCAAATTGCGTTAAATTAAGACCCCAGTTGAATTAAATAACAACAATAATGCTCTCCTGTATGATCGACGGACTAAATTAACAGGACCAAATGAAATGAAATGCTGTCAAATGTTTTATACAACTATCTAGGAGTACGTCCCACTGCTGGTGATGAGATTTATTGCTGAATAAACATATCTAACCGTTGCAGTTATTGAGATCTATCGACAAGAATCGTTGAAGTCCAACGAGAAACAATGTAGATAAAATTGGACAATATGCAAGGGTAAACATTGAGTTGGAACGCTAAACATTCTGCAATTGGCTTCTATTTATTTTTACAGGGCAGACGTAGGCACGATTAGGTTGAAAACTCTGGATTTTTTATGCAATTATAGTGTGGCTGGGGGAGGGGAGGGGAATGGCAATCCCACAATAACCAAAAATGAAAGCCTGCAGAAAGGAGATCGCAATCTATTATTAAGCGTGGACAGATCATGTTTTTCAATAAATGCAGCTTAGGACAACATTTTAAGGCGATTTCATCCAGTCAGCAAAAGCGAAGTCAAAATAAAGCAAAAGCAAAAAAAAATAGAGACTGGACAAACTTTTGTCTGCAGTGGGAGAGGGTTTCCTGTTTGAGCAAGGGGTTGGACTAGAGGATCTCTAAGGTCCCTTCCAACTCTATTATTCTATATTTCAAAAGAGCCTCAAAGATGATCAGGGGACTGGAGGCTAAAAGATACAAGGAACGGTTGCTGGAATTGGGGATGTCTAGTTTAATGAAAAGAAGGACGAGGGGGGACATGATAGCAGTGTTCCAATATCTCAGGGGCTGCCACAAAGAAGAGGGAGTCAAGCTCTTCTCCAAAGCCACCTGAAGGAAGGACAAGAAGCAACGGATGGAAACTCATCAAGGAGAGAAGCAACCTAGAACTAAGGAGAAACTTCCTGACAGTTAGAACAATCAACCAGTGGAACTACCTGCCTCCAGAAGCGGTGAATGCTCCAACACTGGAAGTTTTTAAGAAGAGACTGGAAAGCCATTTGTCTGAAATGGTGTAGGGTTTCCTGCCTGAGCAGGGGGTTGGACTAGATGACCTCCAAGGTCCCTTCCAACTTTTGTATTATTATTATTATTATTATTATTATTATTATTATTATTATTATTATTAATAATAATAATAATAATAATAATAATAATAATAATAGGCTGTCCAGTCTCTGGCGTAACATGAGAAGACATAATTAGCAACTTCATTATTAGCAACCACAAAGAAGAGGGAGTCAAGTTATTCTCCAAAGCGCCTGAAGGCAGGACAAGAAGCAACGGATGGAAACTAATCAAGGAGAGAAGCAACCTGGAACTAAGGAGAAACTTCCTGACAGTGAGAACAATTAACCAGTGGAACTCCTTGCCTCCAGAAGTTTTGGGTGCTCCATCACTGGAGGTTTTTAAAAAGAGATTGGACTGCCATTTGTCCACAATGGTATAGGCTTTCCCGCTTGAGCAGGGGGTTGAACTAGAAGACCTCCAAGGTCCCTTCCAACTCTTATTATTCTGTAATAAAGTAAAATATTCTGTGGGTTGCACCATCGTAGGTGAGACAACACAGACACTTCCAAATTTGGTCCAGCTCTTTCCCTCACTCATCCTTTGGCTCTTCCTCTCAGCTGGCCTTGCAGCTCCAAAAAGTGAAGTTGGGAGGGACCTTGGAGGTCATCTAGTCCAACCCCCTGCTCAGGCAGGAAACCTTAATACCATTTCAGACAAATGGCTCTCCAATCTCTTCTTAAAAACTTCCAGTGTTGGAGCATTCACAGTTTCTGGAGGCAGGTTGTTCCACTGGTTAATTGTTCTCACTGTCAGGAAGTTTCTCCTTAGTTCCAGGTTGCTTCTCTCCTTGATGAGTTTCCATCCGTTGCTTCTTGTCCTGCCTTCAGGTGCTTTGGAGAAGAGCTTGACTCCCTCTTCTTTGGGGCAGCCCCTGAAATATTGGAAGGCTGCTGTCATGTCCCCCCTGGTCCTTCTCTCTATATAATTAAATACAAATCAAATCAATGTGAATAACCATGCATATTTACGAGGTGTCTGCAGTTCTAAAAAAATATTTATCTAAAAGGAAGTTCATTTGAAATCAGGGGTGCTGGGCTTTGGATATAAACATGGGAAGAGAACGCTGCAAGGTCTCAAGGCGAAGGCAAAATAAAATAAAGAGCAAAATAAATATTTGTCTGTACGGTCCTTTTTTTTTCTTCTTAGGGACCCGTATTATTAATGAACTCCCTTTAATGAATATGTTGATGTAACTCCGCAGATGTCCTGTAAGTCATTAGTGTCTCTACTCCATTAGTGTCATGCAACAATTCAGCCAGAGTTGTTCTTTATTTGCTTACACACAATAAACAAAAACTGGCCAGACTAAACCTTTGCTGCTCTCAGCCTAACAGACAGACAGTTTGGTCTAGTGGTTAAGGCACCAGGCTAGAAAACTGGGAGATGGTGAGTTCTAGTCCCGCCTTAGCCATGAAAGCTAATTGGGTGACCTTGAGCAGGTTACTCTCAGGATCCTCGTTGTGGGGAAAATAAACCAACTGGAGGAGTTATTAGCTACGTTTCACTGCCTTGAGTGATTTGTAGAATTAATAAAAGTGGGATATAAAATAAATAAGAGGTAGCCAGGTAGTCATCGACTTACATCACAATTCAGCCCGACAGTTTCTGTTGCTCAGCGAAACCTTGGTTAAGTGGATTTTGCCCCATTTTATGACCTCCCTTGGCGCAGTCGTTAAGTAAGTCGCTGCAGATGTTCAGTTAGTAACGCGATTAAGTGAAACGGGCTCCCCCCCCCCCATGACTTTGCTTGTGAAGGGAGATCACGTGACTCTGGGACACTGCAATTACATTTTGTCTTTTATAAATTATTATTATTATTCTTTTGGATTTCTGGCCAAATGTTATTTGCCGCTGTAAATTATAACCATCGTTTCTGATTATTAAAGCAATGGCTTCTCTGCTTTGGTGTTAACCATAATTGGGCATGCTTTGTGTATTTTTTGCAGAAAATTAATAGAGGCTTGTAAGCTTTCAGTCACATCTCTGTTTCCTAAGCAATTGATTCTGCAA